TATTGTATACATTGAAAAAATAAGTAAGAGACACACTTAAAGCATCATCTCAAAGTTAGCTGGATAAACAGTCAAAACATACTAAAAGTATTTCCAAAAGGCACAAAGAAGCATCACTATGAAGTATGGCTCCATAAAGGTAGCAAAAATGGAGCGTGAAGCATTTGTTGTCTGCACAGATTGTCAGAGAATGACTCAGGAAAATATATACAACTTACGTCAGGGACACTTGCATGTTCATCACTGACTTCACTCTGAGAACACAATATACATATGAATAGAAGTTAATCTGATGAACAACACTGGATAACACCCAGGGGTGGACTGGCAACAAAAAGCAGCCCGGGAATTTGCCTGGTATGCCAGCCCCCTCAAGGCCAATTCATACTTTACTTTTCTGTGCGCACTTTCAGTTACGTCAATATCGTCATCAGGGACTGGCTGTGGACGGCTTCGGTTGGTGCATGTGTAGCCCAGATTTTTATATCTAGCGGTAACCGTGCACGCCGACTGCACATTTGGAAGATGATTGACTAGGTATACCCAACAGGTAGCATATATGTAAACAAACGACAGACATGTCCAGTTAAGTTTGCTTTAAGCATTAAACTACAGTAAAACCTCGGATTGCGAGTAACTTGGTTTATGAGTGTTTTGCAAGACGAGCAAAAATGTAATAAATTTTACGAGAGGTCTTGCAATACGAATATTACGTATACGCTTTGTCTGCCTAGCATCACATAATCACAACTGAGCCGATGGTTCTTCCCTCTCTATCTCGCTGTGGGATTGTGGGTAATCAGTTCCCATGCTCAGTCTCAGTCGGCGTGCCTCACTCATATAGTGAAAATTTTGTAGAAACACACCACCCGAATAAGGCCATAGCGATGAATCTGTTTAATGACAATGCAATGTCCATATTTCCGCGAAATCGAAAAGGAGGCAAAAGCAGCTGTCACTGGATAGGTTCCTTGTTAAAGTCGCACAAAAAGTAAAAGATTCCAGTAAGCCAGCAGTGATCCCGTTATAGTGAAAGTCGTCCTACAAAATAACCCTCCTCCTCTCTCTCGTGTGTCCCTCACACCATCCACCATTCTTTTCAAAGGTAAAGTGCAGGTTAATTTGTTTTATGTATTTTTACTTTATATTTCTCATTAATCATTTTTATATGATTATTTTTGGGTTGTGGAACAAATCATCTGAGTTCCCATTATTTCTCATGGGAAAATTCGCTTTCATATACGAGTGCTTTGGATTACAAGCACGTTTCCAGAACGAATTGTGCTCGCAATCCGACGTTTTACAGGTATGGGGAACAATGCACACCATATAGCTTTCATGTGTTTTTATATGTATTTATTAGTAATGGCACTGTGTCAATTCACCACCAGTATCTGTGAACAAGACAGCTGGGTCTCATTTATAACCGCTACCTACGCACAAAACGGGCCCTAAAAGATACGTAACGCCTCTTTCTACACAAAACGTTGTGATCTATAGAAACAAACTTGATGGCAGAATGTGCACATATGCACACCAACTCTGACCCATGTGTGTGAACATTTTGGAGGAAAAAAAATACGACTGCGAGTGACGTGAGTGGCATCAGTACATAAATAATAATTCCTTGTGCTAGGGAGTCATACACCGTACATTTAATTTCACTTACTCAGTCACATATTTATAATTGTGAATATATAAGTAAAATATACTGTATAATCCGACTCAAATCTTAACATAATCTACATTTTTAATCTATGCGCCGCAGCTGATGAAATGTAAACGGATAAGTGGTGGTCGTGAATATCACGATCATTTGGACACAGTATGAAACAATCAATCAATCAGTCTCATTGCTGAAAACACATACCGTGAACACATTTGTGCGCAACATAACATAATGGATGTGCTGACACTGTTAGAAGATTACGCCAATGGCAGAATTAGAAAAGAACAGGTGTTCAGGAACCATGAAGATTTTTTGGCCCATGATGACTGGCTCATAAGCCGATTTAGATTACCTAGATGTGTGTGTTTGGAGCTATGTGCTGAAACTGGGTCTAATGTTAGAGAGACCAACCCGACAATCCCAGTACAAATACAGGAACTGACGACCCTGGGGTTCCTTGCAACTGGCTGTTACCAGTGGGAATTAGCAGACAGGTATATGTTATAATTAACGATAAAACTGAATTTGTTCTAAAGCTTGTTTAGGAAATACAATAATAATCTATCGATACATCCATTCATCCGCTTTCCAAACCGCTTATCCTTGTGTTTAATTATATTCTAGGTCTGGGATATCACAACCATCACTAAGCTCAATAATACTTGTCATTTTGGATGGGATTATTAAAATGACTAGTAGATACATTAAGTTCCCTTACACTGTGGGAGAACAGGCCAACATCAACAGGAAATTTACAGCAATGTCCCGGTTTCCCCAAATGTAATCGGCGCAATTGACTGCACTACGTTGCAATGAGGGCTCCATATGAAAACAAATTTATTTACGTGAATAGAAAAACATGTGCATTCTATAAATGTGCAAGTTATTTGTGACGCTGATATGGTCCTGACAAATGTGGTTGCACGATAGCCTGGTTCAATACGTAACTCGTTTATCCTGAAACACAGGAGTGTAGGGAGCAGACTGCTGGCTGGCGCTGTGCGTGATGGATGGCTTTTTGGTAAGGTGATAAAAATAGTGTAATTTTAAATATGCATTCTTCATGCATTGAATCGTTCTGTTATGAAATGCAGGTGACAGTGGCTACCCTCTCAAGTGCTGGCTCCTCACCTCCCATTCAAACCCCCAGCACATTGCCTTCGGGCAGGAGATTTAGAGCAATAAAAACAAAGGACAAACTGGTTAAAAAACAGTTTTTATCCTAAGGCAACTATGCTAGTGAATGCTGAAATTAAATTATATAATTTCTGGTGTTATAGAAGAAAGGGGTGTGGGGGCAAAGGTGGAGGGGCCAGAATGACTGTATGAGGATTTACGTATTTATTAAGTTATCTTGAATGAATGTTGTACAGAAGAGGCACTTGAATTTCGTTGTTTTATGACAATGACAGTTATCTGAGCACAGAGGAAAATCACTATAACGATGTGCGCACCATTGTGGAGCATGCAATCGGCCTACTGAAATGCAGATGCCAATGTTTAGATGCATCAGGTGACCGGTTGTTATACCTATGGAAGCCCGTTTCCGCCACCGAGGAAACAAAATAAGTCGAAATTTCGGCGTGTAGAGGGTGGAATATGTGGCAAATCCACATGCGTACAATCCCAGGCAGTGTGCGATTTATAAATCGTATATTGCTTGGAGGTGTGTGTGTGCACGTTTTTATAAATCTGACTTTCTTTGCATACGTCATTTTCGTCTTTTGAACGCACATGCAGTTTTAGTATGAGTGCTACACAAAGTTTTATAAATAAGACCTCAGGACTGTTGAATACAAACTGCACACGCAAACATTAATTAGGATTATCCTTGCCATCACGTTGCAGCAAATAGCAAGCGGGCAAGTGTAGCGGTATTGCAAACTATTGAAAAAAATTATCCTCTCACCCTGACCTCTTAGGGGCTCTGTATATTCCGCCTATGTCTAGATTATTACTGATTTCTACCCCAAAATAATATGTCATCACAAAACTCGACCAATGAGAAACGTGATCAGGCAGAGGTAAATATTAAACATATTTACTGTCCAAATTGTTTGTTCAACAAAGGAGACATCAGTTAAGTAGATTTACAAAGGAAAGTTGCGTTTTTTTTATTGCTTTAAAAACCTGAGAAGACTTGAAACTTGAGGTTATAAACCATCTCATCCTACTTTTGCATAAACTTCATTGAGACCTAGAAGATGACATCTGCCCTCTGCTGGTCTGGAGGAATATCATTGCAGCACGCATGTGCCGACCACAACCATCCACATCCACAGTATGAACCGGAAGACTGGAAGCACACGAGGAAAGCGTAGAGTATGAGCTAGGCTTCAGATGTCTCTCAAACTAAAACAGCTGGCAAGTAAATCAGAAGATCCTAGCTCCTTAGCTGGTTCACAATCATGATCAACAGCCGTGAAAAAGAAACATCAGCCCTCACAAGACCACCGGGGAAACTGCGCCTGTTGTCTACAAAATGACTCTCATTCACAAAATGCATTTAGTCACAACAAAATGAATTTCTCAGTGAAAAATGCATTTCGTGAACAAAATTTTAATTAATGTAATCATACATTCAGCCTTCTGTCTACAAAACACAAGGTGCCAATATCAATTCAGTGCACAAAAGGAGTCATTCCATTTGATTTTTGTGCATGAAAACAGTGACACCTTCATGCTTTCATGGACAAAATGTAACTGGAGTTTGTCTTACTGTGGTCAAAATGCAGCCAGGTATTTCTTTAATATGCCATCTAGTTACATTTTCTTAATTTACTGTAAAATTATGTTGGACAAAGTTTGTTAATATGTATTTGATTTACCAAATACGAGGCAAAAATACTTGTACAGAGAAGTACTACATTCTATTTGGTTGAGCAATTTGTGGAGCACAAGGACATGCAACTATTCAAATATTGATTGTTATGTACATAGTAATTTGTACAAAAACATGAATTTAAAGATTTCTCACCAAGACTACCTCCCATGCCTTTTTGTTAATACACATAATATTTGAACAAAGTATCAGTTAGAAGTAGGATAACCCCATACTATTTCAACATTATATGAGCTCTGGCAAAAGGTAATCCCATGACAAATTTTTCCTCGAAAGCTCATAAAATTATTGAAATAGGTATAACAATTGTATCCACATATGCACAAAATCTGTGATTAGTATTTATTTGATCCATAGTATACAAAAAAGTAAACTGGTTTAGCTTCAGATCTTTCTATTTTTGGTTATACCTCCTAAGTATGTGGTCACACCAAATGAGAGGACTGTATGAGGTTCAATAATGAGCTAAAAAAAGATTTACAAAATAAATTCTATGCAACAAAGCCAAGAGAGGTTTATTGTTTCATGATGTTCCGAATAAGAGTAAGTTCCAAATAATTTACAGAAGAAACATCTTATAGACTGTAACAAGCAGATCAGATAGAATATTTAAACAACCAAAGTATTTCAGAATAGTTGCATAACCTCTAGTTTTCTGCAGATGGTGGAGTATGATCAGAAACAACATCGGTCATCTTTTTTCTCTCCCTGTAACTCCTAGAGGCATCCCTCCATTTCTGTCTCTGTTTCTTCCTCTCTTTCTTCCTGAGCTCACTTGACTTGATATATTTGATCAGTCCCTCCCGTTTTCTTCTCTGGTAGCTAAAACAGAGGTGTACAATATTATGATATGGTTTTATTATATGTTAATGGTAAAAAAGACTAAGTTCAATGTTACAGAAAACAAATTCCTCTAACAGCTAATTATAGTCAGAACACAGTAATTTGTGCAAAGTTACTTGACGTTATGCTCATTATTATTAGTTACCTTTCTTTTCTTCTAGCAAGATATTCTTGTCTTGCTGCTGGGTCAGCATTAACACGTTGCCTATGGCGTGCTGTTTTTTCTTTGTTTGTTAAGGGCCTCTAAGAAAAGTTAAAATGGTGTAAATCATAAACAGCCATCAAAAATAATGCTCCATACCAAATGATATTTGATGCACCAAACTTCAGTTAAAATTTACAAGCACTAGAATGACCACATAAATGACCCAAGCACTTTTCCCACAAAAGGTAACGATCAAATTTGAAGTCAGAATCTGGCATTTCTAAATGTCCATTGTCTATCTGAAGTCATCGAAACAAAAAAATTATTATTTTTTCCCCAAGAATATTAATAAAGATGGAAAGGTAAATGCTTTTAACATCTGTCCACCCATTTTCTGTACCCACTTCTTCTATGCAGGGTGACAGGGCTTCAGAGTGCATCCCAAAAGCTACAGGAACTAATGCGAAACAGGGCGTCATGCTTTTAAAAGAGCATTCATGGCATTACAGAAAAAAATGACAAGCGATAGAAAAAAAAAATCAATTTGACTGAAAAATTAGGCATCACGTTACTGATCGGTGTCTCTCATACAAGAGTGAAACTGTGAGGAAAAAGTCGCTGAGGGAATTAAGTGTCAACTGTCTACCTTATTGCCCTGCCCCTTTAATTCCAAAAATTCAATGTTGTTTTTTTTTGAACAAAAGGTAGTGAGGTGAGGTTCTGAAGTGAGGTACAATGACATTTTGCCATATGGCAACACCCTACCACAGAGGGTAAATTTCACCAACTAATTTCACTACCTTACTGCACCAGGATAAAATATACCCTGTTCAGTGAATCTGAACATCAACACTGCTATATGCAATTCATGATTGCCTGCTGTTGGATTTAAAAAAGAAATCAGCTATCATAATCTGATAATTACATTAACAGCCAAACTGTTTCCGGTTGCTGAACATTTTCCAATTTGAACTTAGGATAGAGGCAGAAAAAAAATAGCTGGCAAGTAAATAGAAAGGCTATCATGTGTGTCCCCAAAAAGAAATCAGACAAAAAAAAAAACAAACACATAGTCAGCTCTTCAAAATCAACATATTATTACTGTGTTTGAGCTCCTCAGTATGAAAATGAAACCAACACTCACTATATTTGAAACTGACTTCAGATAATATCCAATATGTGCAATCAGCATTGAACAGGATGCCTTTAAATGGTCAACCCTGTTCAATGCAAAGCTACTATAATTAGCTCTGTTTTATAGTACAGTATATGTTACACAGTATAGTATTATCACTGTGAAGATACAACACACACCAATAATAATATTAGGATATTGAAATTGTAAGTACTACAAAGAAACAAAGATGGTATTGTGCTTCTGGATGCATTATACAACTTACCTTTACTTTAAACACCGTCTTCCTGAGAGATGATTTTGTGATTCCAGATTCCTGTGAATAATGTAACTTGAGGAATATTACTTTGTAAGGGATTTTAGTGGGTAGGGTGAATGACAAGGCTTGCAAAATTATACTTAAAAACCTTTTCAAAATGGCTGTGATTTCGCTTTCTGTAATAATGCATTCTATAAATTCATATTTACAAAACCTTGTGATTTTTAACAGTATTCTTAACCAAATTACATATATTTTTTTCTCCACAAGATGACTACGGAAGTGAATTTTCAAATTTCCAGCTTTCTCCTCGAACAGTTCACTGCAGCATGAAAAAGTGATGAGCAAATGGTTGCTAATTATCTGACCCACGATTTGTTGTGAAGACCATTGTGACGGCTGCTCTACTAACTACACAGAATTAAAGCATACACTCAGTTTTACCCACTGCATTGTACATTTTTTACATATTACAGTAGTCATTAAATCAATGCATTGTGGCACTTGTCTATTAGAAGCGTTAATAAAATAAATTCTAATTGCATACGTTTCTGATGAAGGCATGCACATTTAAATTCTTTTGCACCGACATTTATTTTGTACAACTCAACCTACAGTTTAATTTCTTACCTTTTGTGTTTGCCGTTTGGGAAAGGCCTGGCCAGGGGTGCCTTTCCCAAAACCATCGTTGCTAACTACATTAGCAACTTACGTGGTTCGAACTATGCAAGTACGACGCAGGTGTTTCCCGAAACCATAGTTCGAACTACAGAGGTAACGATACTGCGGACTTGCATAGTACAATGCATCGTTAAACGACACAGGTGTTTCCCAAAACCATAGTTCGAACAAACATTCGCAAACACTGTCGTTAAGTTGCATAGTTCGAAGCGTAGTTCCGGGTAAATACGTCAGCGATGGTGGAAAATACAGTCTAATAAGGGTTTAGTCACCGTGTAAGTAAGAAATGTAATAATCTTTAATACCTAATAAGGAATAATTTAGCTCTACGATCACATATAATGTGAAGTTGTCTGAAAATGTAGTTTGAAATGTAATTGTTGTGTGGGTCTCTGGTCATAAGTACGGTAACTGTCTGTAGTGAGCAATAGGGACAGATCTCAGACATGCAGCTTTTCGCTGCAACTCTGTGCTTAGAGTAGAACGTAGAGGACCGATCGACTGAAGAGTTCGCACAACTGGGTTTGAGCAACTGATTGAACGGTTATCCCAAAAAAAACCTACAAACACACCGACCCTTTCTGGATAAGACTGCCCACCCCTGTAGTGGCATATGCAGTTAGTGTGTATTGCTTGGTAAAGGATGTTGTGTACCCTGTGGTCATTGTGCCATATGGTACACTTCATCATATATAGGGGGAAAAAAAAGAGAAATAATAATAAAAAAACAACATTAAAATAAAAAGAAAATAATAAAACCCCTAAAAAAAAAATTTAAAAAAAATCATTATCCCTTGTATGTGTACATCTGTGTGTTTGTAGCCCTATGCAGACCATTGGGTGTTGTGCAGTTTCTTCATTACACACATAACTTAAGAGGGACAACAGTCGCCTTAGAAAAAAGTACAGCATTTTGATGAAGTACTCCTTATTCACTGACAGCTGTCATTGCCATAATAGAAGAGTAGAATGACACTACAGCGGTCAGATACGAATCCATGCCTTTGAACTCGGGGAATGACGTCTGTAATGTTTGGATATTACACGCACCTGTCTATTCCAGTCAGCCACTAACATTCTGTAAGCAACAACGTCGGACCAGGAATTTGTAAGTGGTCGTAGTGTGACTGAAACACAATGAACTGCAATCAACGTAATTACAGATGGAGCGTCTTTCACAAAATGCAGTGTCATAGGTAAAAGTTCTGTTTACCACAGCAAGAAGCGTCGCATTATTTTGGCACGATTGCCATTTTTCATATTATTGGTGTTATGTGACTGACAAATTGATGATGCGTACACGTGTGTGTGTGTGATTATTATATATTTATATGATATTACACAGTTCGAGTTTTTGTACGCGACCAGCTGTGAAAGTAGTTTGTTAGTTGTTGCGCATGACTCGCCATGAGTCTTACCCATCAGCGCTGGAACCATTGTAGTTTGAACTACGGAAGTCCCAACCAACTAATGTGGTTCAAACTACTGTGGTTCAACGGTTTTGGGAAACAGTCGTACTTCGGATGTTGGTTAGTTTGAACTACCACAGGACATTGGACCACCTCACACTAGTGGTATGTTGTGGGGGAAGCAGAGTTTTAATTTTTCTTTCCTTAATGTTTAGATTTATTTTGTATATACAATGATATTGAACTGGTTGTGTAGTGGTGGTATAATTTTGACATTTTGTTTATCGTTTTGAGATTTACTTTATTTGGTTAATCATTTAATATTTTCCCCCCTTTTGTCTGATTGTTTGGCCAAGCCTGTGTGGGTATATATACACCCCTGTGTCATGTTGTGGAGTTAGTCCGTTTTAGCGATTTTGTCCATTGAGTTGTTTGAGTTCATGTGAAGTTTGATATTGTTCTGAACTTATCAAAAATAAACTTAAGCTTATTTCTGTGTTAGTTTTGCAAACGTTTGTAATAAAAAATCTTGTTCTTCAAAAACCTTCCAGTGCCCTTACGCCTGGCCTACATGGTCCTTCACAATTAAAATAATTTTTATTGTAATATTTTGCAATTTTGGGCTTGGCCCATTTTTTTTGCCAAAGAATGTATGTCATTGCCCAGGTCCCACCACCTGATGGTGAACAGTTGTGCCACTTGACATTAGTGATAACAGTGTAGGCTAATTAACTTGAAACACAAAGGAACTCTATAGTTCATGTTACAATAACAGCAATAAATTGTTAATTTACTGAAAACAAAATTCCATTAACATTTTTGTAGCACAGACATTCATTAACTAAAATGCCATTCTAGCATTTTGAATTCTTGGGGATAAAATTCACTGAGCACATGCAGAAGGTAGGCCTTTTGTCACCAAGATTTCAAAATACCACAGTATACTATATTACACCCAAGCCTAGTAACATAGTAATAACTTTTGTTCATAAAAGTTTCTCTCTCTCTCTCTCTCTCTCTCTCTCTCTCTCTCAATACATTGCTAGTAGCAGCATATTTGCCCTCTGCAGGTCTGGTGACATTCGTATCACTGCTGTTTGCATGCACCGACCGCTGCTACCTGCATCCACAGACAAATGCAGTATGTACTCAAGGGTCTGCACACACAATGATGCATGGACCCTAACAGCTTTAGGAAAAGTGAAGTATGACCTAGGCTTAACACAGCAATGTTTAATGGTGCTAGGAGGTGATGTCATTGTATGCAATTTATGCAGCAAACTGGAATAATGCAATCAATGACAAAATTCATTGTCAATTGTTATTACACTCATTATTGATTAGTTGTTGCAGCCCTTATACATAAAAATAATGAAGCATGAGATTTGTACTTGTAGTTACCCTCGAATACACCTTTGTATCCACATTTTCCACTGCAGTTCATGTACCTAGCCAGAAAATAAAAAGGCTTCCACGCTTTTAGTCACTTTCATTTGCTTCAGAATGACATTTGAAGAACCATACAATTAACAATATTCTCATAACTTACACATGGCAGCTCAAAACCACTTTGCTTTCAATGTGTATGGGCTGTTTCCAGTATCATCCATTTTCTCTACATATTGTTTGCATGTATCTGACAGTCGCCAATTCACATACTTCAACGTATTTTTTCAACACACAAATACCATCACTAATTAATTATTGTCTATACATAATTTCTATAATATGCTAATCTTTTGATGTTCAGGGTATCCCATTTGTGTACCATGTGCTTTTTGTTTGCACTATGTATACCATCTTGGCATTATATTTACTTATTACATTACTATTACTGCACCAAGATGGCACCGCAGGGCAACTGCTCAACACTATTGCAACGCTCCTATGCTGACAAATACTGAAAAGACTAGAAATACAAGTGCAGAATATACATTTTTAAAATTTAGTATCGGTACCTGTGCAGCCTTTGATGCGATGGTTGGTTTGTCATCCTCTTTTTCAGCTCTTAACAAGGTACATGGAACATGCTTTGATCCACCAGCCACTGGGATGTCACACACCTAGGAAATGCAAAAGAACATCATAACTGTTGTGTGGTTCACTCCCCCTATGCTTAAAGAAGGTATAAACATTTGTGGGAACTGAAAGAGAATTACAATTACGTTCAGTTTAACCTGCCTGAGATCATCTGGTGCGGACACTGAATGGAGATGATCACTAAGAACACACCTACAGTTTCCTTTAATAATTAGACAAACACTTAACTTGCATAACTTAATTTGACATAAGCTCTTATATCAGACAAACAGTTCCCAGCATAGAAAAATCATCAGAGCCAACTAGTTTTCACTGATCATGAAATCTGTGTCGGATTACATGTCAAAACTATGTAGTGTAACCCAGACTGAGGTCAACCCAGCCAATTCAACCCAAAACAAAAAAGAGAGAGAACATGGCAACATTTTATT